TTCATCTGGTCCTGCAGATTTTTTAGAGTCTAGACCTTTTAACAATTCATTTACCTCACTAACAGAAAACAGTGAAAATGAAAAGGTGTTGTTTATTGAGGATTGATTTGTAGGAGAGATATGATTTGTAGATGTAAAGCATAAATAGAATAAACAGATGCAGGCAAATATGTGCATAATCAGATAGCTGAACATTAAAATAACTACACATACTAATAATTAAACAACAACATTATGCGTGTTCTATGAGAAAACAAAACAAACAGGATTTACAATTATAACCTGGATTTGACATAAGATTAGGATGTAAATGTGCATGTCATGCCACCAACACTTTCAGAGAGCACAGTTTATAAACTGCTAGAAGTGTGGAGATGGTTAAAGAACATGTTTGAAATGCAGACAGTAAAAAGCAGGTACATTGTGGTGATCGGGACTCACCAGCGCTCCCTCCGCTGCCCTCTCTGCCTTCTCGCCGACTTCTCGCACTGTTCTCCCGTCCTGACTTCACCCTCTACCATAATACAGAAGGAAAAGAGAACTGAGGAAGCTAGAAATACAGTAGTCCCTCTTTTATCCAGGGGATCTGTACCCTGAAGCCCCGCAATAAGTGAAAAACCACGAAGTAGGAATAGTAGTACAAGTAGTAAGTAGTAGTTTATTTTAGTATACAGTGAACCCTCGTTTTTCACTGGGGTTACGTTCCAAAAAGAACCCGTGATAGGCGAAATCCGTGAAGTAGTAACCTTTATTTTTTTTACAATTATTATACAATGTAATACTCCATAATAATAATAATGTCATCACAATGTCAGCACTGTATGTTTCCATACAAGGGCGAAATTAGTCTCTGCATTTAACCCATCCACCACCAGGTGGTGCAGTGGGCAGCTATTGAAAGCGCCCGGGGGGCATTTTGGGGATGAGGTGTGCTGCCCAGAGACGCCACGTGATGTGCAGTGACTGGGGATCGAACCTGGGACTTTTGGGTCCCAAGCCGGCTGCCCTGCCTCTACACCATCCCGG